AGGCCAACTGAATACTTGTATTCAATCGACTGTGATGTTAACTGTGGTCACTGGCAACACCAAAAACTTTCCTCGTGTCAAAAATGCAATAATTTGAATTACAATAATAGCTATACAATACCGAATACTCAGATGCCCATTGTCATTTATCCTCCGCACCATGTCATTTCTTCCCATCAATAACATGCTAGTTGCTACTGTATTCAAATCATCACCCTTCAATACAATAATACTGTTTTATGGACTGAATTTGGTAAAAATATTCTGTTAAAATTTCATAAGCTTTAGCACTTCTTCAGAGCGCTAAGAAAATAAATGAAATCACTTCGCACCTCTATAGCACAAATTTATTGATTGCGGCGAATAAAATACAATACAGAGGTTACTCGACTTTCGAGTGTCGTTGATTATATATTGGAATAAATAATCAGTGTCAGTACAACTGTCTGCAACACTACAGAAACAGTTTTCTTACTTTAGGCTCCTGGAATCTGCATAAATAACTAAATAACTTTAGCGTAAAATGGGACAAACTATGATTTTACGATAATCAAATATTACGACAATATTTCCTCCTGGAATCTGCATAAATAACTTTTGCAAAAAATGGGACATACTATGCAGTAAAGATATTCCAGTTTGCAAATCTGCAATCAAAGCATTCAATTAAAATTTTAAGACAAACCTTTAAAAATCACACAAAGTATTGGAAGGCGCGATGAAAGTTGATGTTCCGTCTGTCTGTCTGTCGAATTAAGATTCCTGCTGAAGTAATGTATCTCGAAGCAATGCCGGTGATGACTAAAACAATTGCGACTATACCTGGCCTGTGCTATGTACTGTAGATTGCAGTACTCTCTTTGCTCAAACTCAATTATTGAAATATTGATCCAAGTTCCACACAAATTATTTTTGAACGAGTGTCAATATAAAAGAACACCAAATTTTATTCGGAAGAAAGCGGCAACATCAACACCAGCCAATGTCTGAAGTGACACTGAACTCGAAAAAAGCTCGATGCAGGATGCACAAGGCAGCACAAGCCACTTATGGCTCCCTCCCCCCAGCCCTCTACTCCTCAGGTCCAGGTTACACAGCTACAACAGATCCTTCGCAATCTATTGAAGATGACAAGCTTAACACGAGCTATCTTAGCACTTTTGTACCCTGTGACGTCAGAAGCACCTACTACCTAGCTCACGTTTGTTATTTATGACGATCAAAATAAATCTCCTTGTTTCTTAAGCACGGAAACATGGACTGTGACAAATCACGAGAAAATTTTACGAGACAATGACGTGAAATTCCTCGCTTATAAATGATTTCTGATTCCTCTGAGATATGTATACTGTAAATCCATCCATATAACAGGCAAAATGTGCAAGCTTTGAGGAATAAAACAATTTCTTATGAATTATGCTGAAAACCTGATTGCTTGTAAGCAATCCGCGAAAGATTCAGGAACAAACAACAGTTGCGTGACCCTTCAGCGAGGAAGTCGAGGTCACGAATGTTTCTGAACCGCTTGAACTGACAGCACCGGATGTGATCATCACGCGGTATCATCAATACAATTTTTTTTAATTTCATGATACAATTATTTTTGAAACATGGTCGTCCTTGTATTGGCTGCCTTTTTGAGCGGGTTCAATTTCCTGTTCCTTTTTATAAATTGTTTTTATCTAAAAAATTCAAGATTTTTTCTCTAATTAAAAAAATTAAATCGAGTTCTCTCTAATTAAAATTCTCTAATAAAAGGATAATGTTTGGTATGCATGGCATAATGATTGTTTACGAAAGAGCTGTGGCAAGTGAAGAAAAAAATACTCAAACGTGGCAGAATCATTTTCTTAAATTGAAGCTTTCTTCGGAACTCGCTTCAAGATCTTTGTTCTTTTGTTTATAGAACAAACGTTTGTGTTGTATTTGTGACATGAATACGTGAAATTCATCCATTTAGAGTCGTTAATTTTGTTGTTTCATAGTCTCCCTGGCGCTAGCAGCCACCACATGTTCTGACTATCAAATTCCGATATTCGTGGACACAATCCGAGCGCACTCAGCGGAGGGGAGTGAGTCGACTGCATCATCTCGTTTACAACGCAACAAACGCATAAACTGAACATATCATCAGCTTATTTATTAAAAGTTGAGCATTAAGTTGATAAAATAATAATTCTCACAAAGCTAACCTAACCAGTGTTATTTTTTTCTGACGGTGTTGCTAGACGATGATGTCATCACCGCTACACCCGCCCCCGACACTCAACCTCTAGCTTCTCTTTCATCCTATACTTTGCTTTGCCACCAAAAAAATCAAATAGAAACTTTGTAGTACTCTAGAAGATAAATTTCATTCCGCTACGCATTTATATGTACTAAGAACGTTCCCTTACAAACACTGCAATAAAAAAGCCATGAATTTATGGTAAAGCAACAAGTCTCTTTTGAACTATAAAAAAATATAATAAAAGGAATAAAAATGCTGTGGCTAGGTTTTCATACATTTTTTATTGTGCTTTTAATGAAAAAAATAATGATAGTGATGTTCAACACAAATTCAAAATTATCTTTAAGTATTAAAGCACCATAGTCACTGCAGGTGCATCAACTTTGGTGCAGCACCATCACCTCTAGTCTGCACATCACCACCACGCTTGAAAATGCTGCGTAACTTCAATCGTGCAGAATATCGCAGAATTTTGGTTTGAACGAAACCTGTTGCACGGGTGCTAGGCGAGCGACCAAGGCAGGTACAGATTGGAACAGGTTGCGAGACGGAACTGATGGTGGTAGAGTTTTATAGCGTTCGGAACTGATGGTGGTAGAGTTTTTATCCAAGCTATAGCGTTCGGAGCTGATGGTGATAGAATTTTTATACAAGCTTTAGCGTTCTGAATTGATGGTGGTAGAGTTTTTATCCAAGCTTTAGCGTTCGAAACCGATGGTGGTAGAGTTTTTATACAAGCTTTAGCGTTCGGAACTGATGGTGGTAGAGTTTTATACAAGCTATATCGTTCGGAACTGATGGTGATAGAGTTTTTATACAAGCTTTAGCGTTCGAAACTGATGGTGGTAGAGTTTTTATACAAGCTTTAACGTTCTGAACTGATGGTGGTAGAGTTTTTATACATGCTATAGCGTTCGGAGCTGATGGTGGTAGAGTTTCTATACAAGCTATAGCGTCCAGAGCTGATGGTGGTAGAGTTTTTATACAAGCTTTAAATTGGCGTTCGGAACTGATGGTGGTAGAGTTTTTATACAAGCTTTAGCGATCGAAACTGATGTTGGTCGAGTTTTTATACAAGCTATAGCGTTCGGAGCTGATGGTGGTAGAGTTTTTATACAAGCTATAGCGTTCGGAACTGATGGCGGTAGAGTTTTTATACAAGCTTTAGCGTTCGGAACTGATGGTGGTAGAGTTTTTATACAAGCTATAGCGTTCGGAGCTGATGGTGGTAGAGTTTTTATACAAGCTATAGCGTTCGGAGCTGATGGTGGTAGAGTTTTCATACAAGCTTTAGCGTTCGAAACTGATGGTGGTAGAGTTTTTATCCAAGCTACAGCGTTCGGAACTGATGGTGGTAGAGTTTTTATCCAAGCTACAGCGTTCGGAACTGATGGTGGTAAAGATTTTATACAAGCTATAGCGTTCGGAACTGATGGTGGTAGAATTTTTATACAGACTTTTGCTTTCTGAACTGATGATGGTAGAGTTTTCATCCAAGCTATAGCGTTCGGAACTGATGGTATTAGAGTTTTGATACAAGCTATAGTGTTCGGAACTGATGATGTTATACAAGCTATAGCGTTCGGAACTGATGATGGTAGAGTTTTTACACAAGCTAAAGCGTTCTCGGTGCCGACAAATACGAGAATTCTACATGCGGTCTTGAAAATTTTGCTTAGTCACTCATGAATTGGAAGTTAAACGTAAGTTGGTTTAATATTTTTGAAATTTTTAACGAAATACTTAATTAAATTATAACTTCATAACAATTAGAAGCTTCTCTGTCAAAATGAGAACATCCAACTTCGTGATGAATTAGAAGTGAGAATTTGAGTACAAGAATCTGAACAAAGTACGCATGACGATTCAAAAAGAATTATTTTAGGCTTGCCAATAATTTGGAGACGAAAAAGAGTTATTTGAGGCCAGCCAATCATTTGGAGACGAAAAAGAGTTATTTAAGGCTAGTCAATCTGTTGGAGATGAAAAAGAGTTATTTGAGGCTAGCCAATCATTTTGAGACGAAAAAGAGTTATTTGAGGCTGGCCAATCGTTTGGAGATGAAAAAGAGTTAATTGAGGCTATCCAATCATTTGGAGACGAAAAATATTTATTCGAGGCTAGCCAATCATTTGGAGACGGAAAAGAGTTATTTCAGGCTGGCCAATCACTTGGAGACATAAAAGAGTTATTTCAGGCTGGCCAATCACTTGGAGACGTAGTCCAGTAAGGTAAGAATGTAATATCGTGTTCTTGAACGCAACGCAAAGAAATATTTAATTCAAGTTCCAGCGATGTTAATAAACGAATAAGGAGTTCGATATGAAATATTTTTTGTTGGTATGCAAATTGTATACGGTGCTTTATTTGTGCCGTAGTTCGATACAGCTGTTTTGACGGGAATTTAATTTGAAAAGATACAAGGACAATCCGATCGTATTGTATGTAAGGATATAGCTTAATAAATATCCTATGATTTGCTTTACTTGTTCAATTCTCAGCTCATCAACGTACGTAATTGCCATAAAGTTATAGCTGAGAAAAATTCGATGTATGAAGCATATAATAAAAATGTATTTTGTGTATAAACTGACGGTAACTCTATAGTTACGTGGCCCTCGATGATTTACATTTTGAACAGATAATGGTCCGAAGACGGATTTTAAAGTACCAACATCTAGTGTGGTTATTCACGAAAATATTTTAAATATTATTAATATATTAAAAAAGCATTAAAATTAATATTTTTACTAAAAACGAATGTACTCACGTTTTGGCCCGACGTCCATGAAGTTCTGGAACCTCTTTACGGTTTTGACCTCATCTTCGACCACGAGCTGAGGGTCCCCCTCGAGGGGGGCAGTCTCCCTGCTGTCTGGGGAGCTCATGGCGGTATGGGAAGAAGGTGAGGGGAGAACAAGGGGACGGGTGGATGTGTTCAACGTTGGAACGCACTGGAATAGAGTGGTAGAAAGGAAGAATGGCAGTAGAATAGAGCGGTAGAAAGGAAGAATGGCAGTAGAATAGAATGGAAGAAAAGAAGAATGTGATGAGGAAATGTGAGGCCAAGTGAAAATAGGAAAGTTGGATTGTATTTTGCGAGTTTGCTGGGGAAGACAGTAAAAATTAATAACATTATTATTAGAGGCAAAAATGTTACTCGTTAGATAGTGCACATGTACGTATTAAGTTTAATTAAAAATTTTAACGTGTGGCAAGAAATTTTTTAAACAAAATGTATGCATAAGGCATTTCGCTCTCATTTGCATAAGTTTGCATCGGATTCTGTTGGAATGCTCTTGTCGTTGTATGGATTGCTATGAGAACGTTATAGGATGTCAACTGTAATCAGTAATTCTAGAAGAAAAGCACAATTAAACTCATCAGCTGTAGTTGACCTACAAAATTAACATGCTTAGAGACCCATATAAATAAGTGAGTTTGAAAAACATTCCTGTTTCGCAAGTTTTTTACGTTTTGAAAAGTCTTTACGAACTCTTTTACTTCTTTTTTTATGTATCTCAGAGTCGTAGAAACATAAAGAAATACTTACGTCTTTAGGTACAGGAATCCAGTCGTTTTTAGCGATCGCGTTATTTAATTACAATTAGACACTTTGCCGCTTGCGAAGAAAACCTAGAATATTTGAGCTGGGGACTCCATGAGACCAGTCACAGGTCATGAAAAACTTTTCGTGAGAACATCATGACGCACAACACCCAACATAACGAGAACACGGAACACTGCACTGATGTTAAGGCGTAATCTTGACTGATGCCATGCCTTAACTTTGCTCGGTTTGACATCACTGGCTTTTATCGCCGAACCTGCTATCTTTCCCCTATTTAATAAAGTTGCTTGTCCGATAGTTTCTGATAAGCGTTCTTTCAGTGTCATATCTAATCAAAATGTTGGATTTAAAAAATAGAATTGTATCGTGATTTTTAAATTGTAAGTTTTCATGTCTGCTTGATCGTAAATTGAAAAATATCTTAATTGCTCATAAATTAAATGATTCGGTCCCCATGCGCACTGCGCAATCGTATTGAAGCCTTGCGACGCTTAATATAAGGATACTAACTTACTTTTTCATTTTACTTTAATTTATCACTGAAGGCAGACACACAGACATTCCGTCTAAGAGTACTTAAAGTGTGATATTCACAACAGCCATAACCGCTGCTTCTATTGTTCTAAGCTGACGGCTATACAGTCAACGGAAACGTACGAAAATTCGCACCTCTAAAAGAATTCACGTGCTGATGACATAGAGGTTCATTTCTTTTATATATTGTTATTTGCTCGTCACAGCTATATCACAGGAATAGGTTATGATCACTGCATCGTGCAGTGTGTGCATCACAACATCGCTTCACTGCACAAGCATCACTGCCACCTGGTGCAGTGAATGCAGTGCCAGCGTCTGCAGTGCCAAAGTTGGCATCGTCAAGCCAAAAGTGCCATCAAATCTCATAGCGACGAAGACTTGCAATAAAACCGACATCTGACTAATTCTTGATCACTTCTTTAATTTAATTAATAATCGCTGAAACAACAATTATATCGTTATTCTCATTATGCCAACTACATAAGCAATTAATTGTAGCGCACGCGGACGGATGACGCTATTTTTAAACGTAAACTTAATAATAAGCTGCGTCTACAAATTCTGCATCCTTGCCAAGCAAATATTGTTCATCCGGGGGAGGTAGAGGAAAGCATCGCAATTTGATTTCATTTGGTCATGTAGGATGTAATTTTTTTCTCACTTCAGGGTCGGTGAGGCATCTTCCTATCCCGAAGTCATTGGGTTGACGTAGAATCTTTGTGTTTCGATCTATTGTTTATATTGATTATTGTTTATATAGGATAAAGGATATATTGTTTTTACTCCTCAGGGTCGGTGAGGCATCTTCGTATCCCGGAGTCATTGGGTCGACGTAGAATCTTTGTGTTTCGATCTATTGTTTATATTGATTATTGTTTATATGGGATAAAGGATATATTGTTTATACTCTTCGGGTTCGGTGACGCATCTTCCTATCCCGAAGTCATTGGATCGACGTAGAATCTTTGTGTTTCGATCTATTGTTTATATTGTTTATTGTTTGTATAGGATAAAGGATATATTGTTTTTACTCTTCGGGTTCGGTGAGGCATCTTCGTATCCCGATGTCATTGGGATCTATGTAGAATCTTCGCGTTTCAATCTACGTTATTAAGTGCATTCGTATTTTACGTAGAAATATAAATATTTTAATCGCCTGTGGCTTCAAAAATGCCATATTAGATAAGATGTTGGATTATTCTTTCGGTGCGTTGTTTCTCATCAGTAGGAAGAAGATGTACTTTTTAAAACAAAAGGTTTCATCTGGCAGGACAAATGTTTCATTAGTTGAAAAAACAATTGACGCAAATTAAATGTTAAATTAACTTATACGATTTATTTATTACAAATATTTTGCGCAAAATAATAAATACCATAATGTAAATACGCGTACATTATTTCGCTATATCGTGTCACATCACTGAACCAGCGTGGCACACAGAACTAACAGCAACATATATGGAATATGCTGATAGATTATAAAAGTTTACAACCTACACATGCTCTAGCTAGCGATAGCTGCTGATAGCGTCCATGATGACATGCAGTTCAAGGGCGTGTGGTGGAGGTTTGAATGATATTCTTTGCAACATATCGTCTATACCATGGTTGAATTAGTTATACCAGTTACAGTATATAGTTCAACCATGCATGGTCTATACTATGCCAATACGACTTTGTTAAGAATAAACCTGAATTTGAACACATGAAATGCGTAAAAAAATTGTTCTCCTATTTATACTGAAATTTTGTTAGGAATAAATCTGAATTCATAAGATTGAAATACGTAAAAAAATCGTCCTCGTATTTATACTGAAATCGTGCAATACCGGCGATTGTTTGTACTTTCCGTCGTTGCTAAAGTACTTGGTACTCCTCGCATTCCAATTAAAACAATTAATATAATTTGAGTATAACATTTAACGTACTTGCGAGAATACCGATTGGAAATTATAATTTGTTGTGTTGTTACCTGATTGGACAATTTTAGCTACATATTTTTTACGGTAGCGTTCTTTTGAGACCGACAACCGATGGTACAAGACGAATTTTTTATTATATTAATTTTATCTCTTATTTGAAATATGTTTCAGAACATTAATTTTTGTTCGCTGATATTTTTAACACCATTATTACGATCGCAACAAGAAACTCTTTCCCACAACCAACATTGAATTTATATTTCAGTCGATGCCAAAGCCCTGCAGCAATGCCATTAATCATACAATATCGACTGCTGCACTCTTTGATGAATAGGGCTTCATGATCACCATGTGCACTGTTTACTTGTAATCAATGCATTAGTAACATTTCGCATGACGTCCTAAAACATTGTGCTAATGTATTCCTTCGATTATCTATATTATATGTGTGTAGTAGCGGCTGTATCTATTAGTAAATAATGACAAATTGTGAAATTTTCTTTGACAAGTCATGCCTTCGCAAAGCGTCTTGTCCTGCACCCTGATTCACTATCTCCACAGTACTACTAACGATATCGAAACGCGGCGTGACACTCTATGTAGACTTCACATTGATTACAGAAAATGTTGTCAAAGAAAACGGCAGTGATGACGGCTGCAGCGGTAACTTCATAATATCTGCGTCACGTGGACGCATTCCGTTTCGACGCTGATGGCGAATATCAAATGCTTTAAATTTTTTAAAACAAAAGATTTCACTTAATCCTTATTTATATTTACTTGATGTTTGTAATTTTCATTTTTTTATAAAGTTTTTTTTAACATTAACTGAAAAAGTAAAGCTTTTTTCATATTTGTGGCACACCTTCGAAACAGAACAAAAAAAATTTGTGCTAATATGATAAAAAAATGACAAACTAAAAATACAAGGCAAAAAATATACCATAAAACAATTACGAAAAATACCCAATCACGCTATGGAATCAGTGAAACGTTCTGTAGTCGTTAATTCAGAATTGCAGATAGTTTAAGAGCTACAAGCTAAGCTACAGGTCTACGGGCGGGCTACGGTAACAAAGGCTGCCCGAATACGTCAGTGATCGCTTCCGAGGAAGCCCTTACCACTCACTTTCCCTGCACCTTTACCACTCTGCTCAGCTCAGCTACGGTCAGACTACAACACATCGCCTGCAGACAATAAGTCAAGAACATTATAAGAATCGGCGATCGGCTAAACTTTACCTTTTTTCTTCAATGCCTGCACTACAATTCTACTATTCGAGCTTAGCCTGTCCTGAGTGCCGAGACTCCCATCACTCCACTCAGCATTTCCTTGCCTATATGTCCCTCTCTACGAGTATCAGCGTGATCTCGTCAGAGTGACACGGTCCTTAGCGTGACAACGAGGACCCTCTTAGCGTGATCTCTGACGAGATCAGCGTGATCTCGTCAGAGTGACACGGTCCTGTGGAGGCAACGGCGCTTTGGCTCTTCTCGCCATCGCTGATCTCTCGCGTTCCTGTGCCGACTTCCACGCGCGGATTCGACGCAAGAAACAAACAACAAAACCATTTATTAGGAAGGACATCCGTTATCTCCATATGCTCTTTTTAGCGCATTTTCTCATTTATGGAAAAAATGCCCAATTGTGCTCGTAATATCCGTCCGTCCGACCGTAACTTCAAGTTTTCGTCGACGAGATAATGCGCTCTCTGTCACTCACTGCACTGAGTACTGAGTTGTAATTGCTGGTAAGGAGATAAATAAAAGCTTTTATAACGACTTGAATCGTGTTTATTCCACTCAGTACACAAATTACGAAGATACAACAGCATTAGTACGCTCTAGTACTGGCCTCTGAACGCATCAATGCCGCTGGCGAGAGCATCAAGCATGTGTGAACAGGTTCACACGCACAGGAAAATCGTATAAGGTTATATATTTTTGGTGCTCAAGTGTTCAAAGGCCAAGTAAACGTTTCAATAAGTCGACTGGATTAACAGCAAAAGCACATAAAATAATACGCGTTAGTATATACTTAAGTAAAATTGGTGAAGTTTGTGCTCGGGAGTAAACTAAGTTCAATAAAGTAACAATGTTCTCTTGTTAGAGAGAAATCTTAATTAACGAAAGAGAAATTTAAGCGCTAAGCCTTGAATGCATTGAAGAGGTCTAAAAAATGATCAATTGACGAACCTGTTATTTGATGAATTGCACATATATTTTGAGCGAAGTACGCGAGCAAAGCTAATAATAATAAAAAAGATACTCCAGCGGGCATCTGACGTTGAAATAACGCGGTTTCAACGAAATCAACTAGTAATACACTATATTTTCAACTTCATTTCGTTTGTTGTATGTCAAGCTTGAAGTGAAACATTCAGGCCGTTGCAAAACCGGTAATGTAAATGACCAGTCAAAAATCGGAGATGCAAGATCGCGCCTTAGGTAAGATATCTATCTTCAGCGTATATTATTAAATTGTATAAACAACATATTATTCATTATATTTTGGAGCAATTGCAATTTCTCGGCGTTAATATTTCCAAGCTCAAAGTTTCAAAATTTTGATGAAGATATCTCGTCTATGATCAACTCGGTAACCCACAGCTAAGTTTTCCGCGGCCTAAGATTACAATTAAAAACACAGCCAGTAAATGTAACAATAGCATCACCAAATCAGGGGGCTTTATAATGAGACATATTGTACGAACTGTCGGTAATCAAGCGAATTTAATTTAATTAACCATTATTAATTAAATAATAATTAATTAATTGTCGGTAATTTATAAGAACATTGCATACCTCGCTGCCCAAGCTAATAGTTTTAGGATACAACACAGTTTGTCACAATTTTTCTATTCCAAAAATACCTGCATTTACCTGATGCTTATACTATGTTAGAATTGAACATTGGAAATGTCCCAAGATGATCATGGTTTGTCTCGACACGTTTTAAAAATGACACGTAAAAAATGTCTCGACACGTTTTAAATGTCTAAACTTCAGAACAAAACCTACTTTGCCTCCCTGTAGAGTTTAATCACAGTTAATTGATTGGATGCACGAATAAAATAAAGCCGGCACAAGCGAAATATATCAAGCGGCCAAAAAATATTAATATATATAAAATCATTGCAAAAAAAAAAAACAGGAATTACAAGCGAGGCAGGAAAATTTTGAAATATAAAAACAGTTCTGAAAATCACATCTTATACTGCACACTCGTAATAACAGTGCTGAATTCTATACGCAATTACACGTAAGCAATTGAGTTTACACAATTGAACACACTTTAATTCTCCATCGTCTCCATCAATATCAAGTATTATCCAAGACATTTAGCTCGACCTCAAAGATATCTTGTCTCAAAGATATCTTGTCTCGTCCACAAAGCATGAGCGTTATCGCGATTTAAAAAGTCTCTCCAGTGTGAACGAGACCTCTGTCTCCATTTTTTTGCTAAATTATGCTGAGCAAGGCAAACACAAACAGAAACGTACCTACACTGAAAAATTCCTGCACAGGAATACGACTAAATAGAATAACCGACTCATAATGATGAGAATACCGCGCGCAGAGGAAAAAGGATAACAATATTCGCTGGAGGCGACGTCAGTACTAGAATTTATCATCGTTCAAATGATATCAGTACTCAAGTTTATTATTAGTCAAGCAAACTCGGTATTGAATTTACTGTCTAATTTCGACATAATTTAAGAGGGCGTCAGAGAAAAAATGTGCTGAACATGATCATCGAATGGAATTTAGCGAAAATTCTCTTCCGGTACTTAGTCCGACTCGAGTCTTTGAGATGAAAAAATTTAATTTTTAGTATACCTATAAGAAATTCATTAAACATCCCAGCACCTTATTGCCAAAGAATGAATTTTTAGTATAGAAGAAATTCATTCATCATCTCCGCACCGTATTACCAAAGAATGAGCTTGTATGGATGGTGACTGGCTCAGTCGATAGAGCAAAAGGCTGTTTTCTACGGTGAATAATACTTCAAAATAAGCATTCTGAATATAGATCTCCCGTTGTAGTAATCAATATTATAATTGGAGGCGAATATGAAAAGGATGTAAATTCTTTTGCTTCACTTATAAAAAATATGAGGAGTATCTCGTACAGATTCATAATACCGACACAAGATAATATTGATAAATGGATATTTAAAATTAATGGTTGCCTTAATTTAACTTTTCTAATAAATGACGATATATTAAGAAAAATTCACCTAAGCGAAAATTCTGGGAATAGAATAATAGTTTAAATGAACTGGCAATATTATATTCATATTACTTCACGTCAGGCAGTAACATCAGGATGATCAATCAATTCCATGTACAAACTGAGAATGAATGCTCTGACTACTTCGCGATTTTTCGTTAAATTTTTAAGAAAAACGAAAACTTGTGCTTCACTCGCGCTTAATTCAACAAAATTTTCAAAATAAATGTACGTCTGCTTGCGTAGGTCGGGTCAATAGAGAGTGAATTACCATTGATTGGTCAATATAACCATTGATTACCATTGATTGGTCAATTACCATTGATTGGTCAATTACCATTGATTGGTCAATATAACCTCAATGAACTGTGTGCATCAAAATTAAATCAAATAACCACATGTTCTTATTCGTTAATGTGCTGTTATTATAAATTGTGAAACCTTTTTGAATGTCATGGTAAGGCTGCAGAGAATGAGACCAAGCTATGTGAAAACTTGTATGACACAGCAGTGGGCTCCTGTGTTCAAACGTTTCATATTACTTATTTTTTTTGTGAATGATATCGTATACACGACTCATTTATATAAAATAAAACAAGTAACCCCATGAAATTCAAACAATATTAAGGCCAAATTATTAAGCGACACATTTGAGTGGTAATTATCCGTGGATCTTCCACTGCAATTCTAAACTTTCACGGGTGGAATAGAGATGTCAGCTGAACTAAAAATAGCACCGTCTTTAATGCCTGTAGAATAAATCAAAAAGATATTGGCAAGAACATTTTCGTTAACGTAGCAATGAACGTACATAAAAAATCACCACAGAAAATAATCACGAAACGCTGGAAAAAAAACTTAATTTTCACGAGGGAGAGGAATTCATAGGTGTAAAAATATAATGGCTTTGAATGCGAATACGATCTTAAAATGTAATTGGAATCATTAGGACTAGATTAAAAACACAAGACGATTTCATAAACAATAACTTGACAGGAGTTGATACACGGTTATAAAGGAAGCTATCGACAGACAAACAAACTGAAATTCATTCAATTTCTAAAGAAAAAAAAAGGGACAGTATAATTCAAAAAGATTTTTGCATTGCAAATGTTTGAGCTAAAGAGGATAAAATTGTGCCACACAATTAAAACTTGGCGTCAATTGCACTCACGGTAACTCAACACAATAACAGTTTTCAAACTAAACGCCGAGACACGAAGGAATAAAGAAACGAATTGAACGGTATAGAATTATAGAAAACACAGTCGGACATTATTCTCTGAGATCGGTATCAGTCGACGCTGGACAAAGCAAGGATACTTTCGAACGCCATTAAGTTCCAATTTAGTCAATTAAAAAAGCTCAACATTTATAATAGTAACATGCTACCATTACTATACGCATGGTATGTTTACTCCATGGAACCTACTTGCCAAGAGAGTAATTTTCGGTGTCGTTTTCAGTGCAAAAAAGAAATAAAGTGAATTAAACATTGAATGTGATTCAGGGTTGTCCGATGAATAATGTAAAATCAAGTGAGATACTCTGCTACAGACGAGAAGATGTGTCAATATTCAATTTACACCGAACAGTTAAGCCTTGACTCAAATATATTAAAGAGCTTATGATACACCAATAGGAGATCGCATAAAGCATTAATTAAGGCGGAGTTTGCAAATTACATTGTATTTGACTTCAGCCTGGTAATGACGATAATGCTTAGCGGCGTAAGTTATTTCCAGTCCCTGAATGTGTTGAAGTATTAATGTTACTTATTTGCTTAAATCGCAAGTTGACTAAAAATTTAAAAGCAAAGAATAGTCCACAAAAATTCATATATTTATAGAAAACTGAATGTGTTGCTTGAATGTGTACACATGCCGCTTCATTGATGCAAGGATTAATTTAATGAATTAATAAACTATAAAAGAACCTTTGCTGTGAAAAGATCACAGGTATCGCCCCATTAAAGCTAAAAATACGAGAATTTCAGTGTTTTTTTTTCCAGGAGCTGCATCATTTTCTGTTAAAGTAGGTCACAATTCAATTAAGGTTAAGCTCAAACTTATTTTTCAGTTAAACTAATTTTTTTTTTTTAGCAGAGCTACAATTTCTGAACATTGAACTTCCAAAGTTATTTGAAGTACTCAGAAACCCAACTCCGATTTTGTGGTGTTTGTTTAAATTTAACAAGAATTATGTATAATAATGAATTCTAGAGTTTCGGTATATACGAATGAACTCTGAATGTTAGATATTTTCACCGATGTTGGTTGATATTATAGAGGTTGATATTGATGATGGTAAATGTTGAAGGTATCCTTAACTGTCTCTGAAATGAGAGATGTAACAGGGCATATCATGTCTCTGAGATGAGAGATGTAGCAGGGCATATCATGTCTCTAAGATGGGAGATGCAGCAGGGCATATCATGTCTCTAAGATGGGAGATGCAGCAGGGCATATCATGTCTCTGAGATGAGAGATGTAGCAGGGCATATCATGTCTCTAAGATGGGAGATGCAGCAGGGCATATCATGTCTCTATAGAGTGATAGAGGTGATATCTCGAATATTTTATTGTGATATTAGGAAATAACTTGGTTTTTACATGGTAAATGGACCATATATTCAACTCTGGAGACGGCACATGCAAAGGCAAGAAGTTTCTAAACCTCATCTTGTGAAGAATATTTGAATAGAATCATCCAGTAATTACAAAGATAGGTACTTTCTTATAATGAACGGGAATTTTTCGTTAGTATTAATTATCTTTAGTTGGGATAATCTTACCAACAAATTACGGTAATTTTCAAACAGTGAACTTTCTATCAGATAGAACTAAAAGTAAAATCAAATCAAGTTATATATATCATAAGTAGTACATACCTTAGTTATTCTTCCGTTCATGGCAAATTATCTATTGATTTTGTTTATACACACAGCTCAATAAGTTTAATATTAATATTATTAAAGTTTAATAATAAATAAGCAAGCGTAAGTAAATCAATCTCACCCTCATAGCTTGCTGGAAGAGCTTACGCCTCGTGAACAGCATCTCTCGACACGCTCGCTCTAGACCGGCATGGTTCCGATCCAGTACCTCGAACAAGCACGACAAATCTGCACAAATTTCAACCCAAATGAGTTAAGATGAAATTTAAATTGTGACTGAGGTCTGTGAAACGAACTCAAAACAAGTAAATATATAAAGATAAATAAATAACAGAACAATATAAGACTGTATACTATGAAATCACAAAAGTCAACGTCTAAAAGAAATTGATGACAAAGCTAGTTTCAGAAAAAAATGTGTATATTGAATGCTCTGACTACTTCGCGTTTTTTCATTAAATTTTTTAGAAAGACGAAAACATGTGCTTCACTTGCGCTTAATTCAACAAAATTTTTAAAATTAATTTTCAACACAATCGCAAAAAAAAACATATTAGCGGTACAATATTTGTCGCCTTGACTCTTACACCAATATTGCTGCACTTTAGTCAAATTGATGCAATTTGTCAATTAAGTATAGGTTTATACGCGTATCCCGTGATTGATAGTCAACTCGACAATTTAGTATAGGTTTATACGCTTATCCCGTGATTGATTGTCAACTCGACAATTTAGTAAAAGTTTATACGCGTATCCTGTGATTGATAGTCAACTCGTCAATTTAGTATAGGTTTATACGCTTATCCCGTGATTGATAGTCAACTCGTCAATTTAGTATAGGTTTATACGCTTATCCCGTGATTGATAGTCAACTCGTCAATTTAGTAAAAGTTTATACGCGTATCCCGTGAGCGTAACTCACGCTTGCCGTTCTCCTGGTCAGCACAAAACTTGACGTCATCGACGCCGCAGGTCTCATGTAGGAGAGGATCAGCATGGATGTCAATGTGCTGACTCTCGATGATGTCAGCAATGTGCTGCTTACACGCGGGCACCTCAAGTCTGTTCTGCTCCAGCGCCAGCTTGAGGCACTCCTCCACGGCGCCAGCCACTCCTGCTTCTTCTTCAGCAGCCTCATTGTGGCACAGCATCTTTACCTGTACCAGCAAGAATAGACAATTTTTAGTTCACTATAAGTCAATAATTTCAGTACCTGGATAATATATGAGCGATTGTTTGACTTTTTCATTGTCCTATCTGCAATGGAATAAGCGGGCTATAAATTATCAGGCTTTCGTTCCGATCATTCTTATTGCAGATGATGTACATTGGCATGACGTCGACAAACGGTGTCCCAAAATAACAATGCACACTAGTCTACAAAAAACTGCATGCTTAAAAGATTCTCAGCACGGTCAATCATTTTGATCAAAAGCTTGACTCAATCGTTTGAGCAAGCCAATCAATCGTAGAGGGCCTCCTTAAAATGCACGCAAATTCGGTGGTAACAACTAAATCTAAGCTACTATCAAGTAGGTGGTAATAAGCTAGGACACGACACAGGAGTGCAGGCAAAATCATTCACTATCTATCGCCAGTCGTCAGAGCAGAACTCCTCTTTTACACACGATCAAATTACACAAACAATTACACAAACAGCCCCAATTCTAGGCAATGGCACCAACTGATGTCGCTTCAACAGCACTTGTCTGCTGGTGCGATTGCCCCGAAACGATAGAGAATATGATCCACTTTGAAAACGGTTCCTACATTTGATAGTATATGAAGTAGGATCATCCTACTTCATTTGAAGGAGGATAATCCTACTTCATTTGAAGTAGGATATGAAAGATCTGAAGTAGTAGGTATAGGTCACCTCTTCGCCGCAAGCATCAGCGAGCTGAGCATCCATCTTGTAGTTGAGTGCAGCCTCCCTGGTGCGTTGCACCACCTGCCCCGCGCACGCCGGGGTCAGCGACTGGTGCGCCAGAGCGCTCTGCACATACAACGTGTCATCAATACAAAGAATATACCCATCAATGTGATTAGAGTGAGTTAGAGTCAATGTGAGTTAGAGTGTGATAAATGAGTACCTGGCTTGTCCAGGGTGTTGTGTAATGCAATCAAATGGTTCTGGCGGGTCAGCGAGCCAGTGATGGCTACCAGTGGCACCGAGGGCCCGGAAAAAACTGACCTATCACCTCCTCCCTTACCTAGTCGCCACTACCAGGATGGGCAATTACAACAACAACAACATTAGAGTGAGTTAAAGCCAACGTAAGCCAGTTAGTTGGATTTTAAATGATTCTACGGAAGTACGGTAATGATATTAAAATCTTGAGCTAGTTGTTCTATGATTGTCAAGATGAAAACGTGTCGGAAACTCTGCCTGCAAGCAGCGACGTCTAACTCTTGGGTCACTCAAATTGAGTGCCAGGGCAATGATGAGGAATCGAATGAGCATAGTTTATGCTGCGCGAACTGTTTGTACAATATCTAATGGCTTAACTGCAAATATATTTCTTTTTCAACATTGGTCGTGCTAAAACGAGGGTAATTTTCACTCTTTGGCATTTTCAGACGGCAGCTTACTCTTTAAGAATCTAATATTTCGATGGGAAACTTAAAAACAAATAACTGGCTGAGATAGTTATCCACCTGAAGGCATGCAACGAGCTTGCCGTTGAACTCAGTCTTGGAGCTCTTCATCTCCTGGAAGATCTTGGAGCAGTGGCGGGGGATGTCGACATTGCAGGCGTGTAGCAGCGCAGGGTTGAGTCTCGCGTCGCTGTTCTGCTCCACCATCCGCCCCACCACCACGCGTCGGCACTGACTGTCATCATCTTGAGGCAGGTCAGCACGTCGGGCAGGTCAGATCACCTTGAGGCAGGTCAGCTCACCTTGAGGCAGGTCAGCACGTCGGGCAGGTCAGCTCACCTTGAGGCAGGTCAGCACGTCGGGCAGGTTGACGTTAGGGCAGCGCAGTTTGATCATCTGGTCGCAGGCGTGCAGCAGCGCAGGGTTGAGTCTCGCGTCGCTGTTCTGCTCCACCATCCGCCCCACCACCACGCGTCGGCACTGACTGTCAAACATCGGCTCGTCCTTGTATTTCTGCACACAAAACCACCCATAAGTCACGTACTGTACACATGAACGATGGCGCACTTTCAGGCAGTTCACGCAGGTCACCTCACCTTGAGGCAGGTCAGCACGTCGGGCAGGTCGCCTCACCTTGAGGCAGGTCAGCACGTAAGGCAGGTCAGCACGTCGGGCAGGTCACCTCACTTTGAGGCAGGTCAGCTCACCTTGAGGCAGGTCAGCACGTCGGGCAGGTCAGCACGTAGGGCAGGTCACCTCACCTTGAGGCAGGTCAGCTCACCTTGAGGCAGGTCAGCTCACCTTGAGGCAGGTCAGCTCACCTTGAGGCAGNGTATGCAGCAAGCATACAACACAGTAAATGCATGCAGACTGTACGCAGCAAGCATGCAACTCAAGAAATGCATGCAGACTGTATGCAGCAAGCATACAACACAGTAAATGCATGCAGACTGTACGCAGCAAGCATGCAACTCAAGAAATGCATGCAGACTGTACGCAGCAAGCACGCAACTCAAGAAATGCATGCAGATTCTACGCAGCAAGCACGCAACACAATAAACGCATGCAGACTGTATGCAGCAAGCACGCAACTCGAGAAATGCATGCAGACTGTACGCAGCAAGCACGCAACTTGAGAAATGCATGCAGACTGTACGCAGCAAGCATGCAACACAAGAAATGCATGCAGACTGTATGCAGCATCCACGCAACACATTAAATGCATGCAGACTGTACGCAGCAACTATGCAACACATTAAATGCATGCAGACTGTACGCAGCAAGCATGCAACTCAAGAAATGCAAGCTGACTGTACGCAGCAAGCACGCAACTCAAGAAGTGCAAGCTGACTGGAAGCAGCAAGCACGTACAGCTCCAGGCACGTTGAGAGGAACGTCGGCGCAGTGGAGTTTGATATCTAAGCCGCACATGCCCTGCAGCTCAGGGTCCAGCGCTAAGGTCGAGTGTCGCTGCAGCAGCAGGTTGCGCAGCTGGGCACGGCAGCCACCTGATATCTGCACAAGTTATTCATTATATTAATATCAATTTATTATGATGTTATTATGTCAGCTCATAAGCACTCTTCATATTTCACCATAAAGTTGAACCAAGTATGTCATCTTGTTGCACTCTCACGAATGCTCTTCAAATTTCAACAAAAAGCTTACATGTACATAACAATTTAACCAATACAATTACTACCGGTATTTAAAAGCGCAGCATAAGCACAGAATATTAGGCCTACTAAGATAATTTCAATAAAACACGAAAAAATTTTTACAAAGTTTGCTTGCAAGAGTAAATAATAGCTAACAATTAATTATTTAAATACCCTGTTAGAGTGTTGGCAAACTAGTAATCCTGTTGAAGTGATAGCAAACCAGTAATTCTGTCTAGCCACATATTAAGAAAGAATTAAAATGTTTCACCTGTGGTCGATCGTCGCGTAGAATTTCGTCGCGGACATGCTTGCTGAGGCAATCCACGACCTCCTTCCTGCACATTCAAGCTTTTGATAACTCACAAGTCTGATGAATTAGCAAGATAAGTAACCATTCATAAATTCTAGATTTTCGTACAGCAAGTATTTTCACAGATACACAACCATATTTATAGAAAGTTATTTCAACTAAAAATGTATTCATGCCATTCAGAATGGATTCTTTTAACAGATTCCCCACTTATATCGAAATAGTTCAATATTGGTCACTTTTATTGAAAAAATTTGTTTCTCACACTGTATAGTGTTCAGAAATGACTCAACTCTTCGATCGCTTAGAATCGAGCACAAAACAAGGAACTTAGCATTAGAAAACAAATTGGAGCAACGAAGTGCTTAGAAATCCTCAGTGCACTTGATTAAATGATGTTTGAATGAATGGCTATCTATTTAGTTAAGGTTGGTTCAATTGATACACAAGTGTCCGTTGTGCTGAAAAGGTATATAATAACAAAAATCTAGTGCTGTAGATCTTACTTGCTCTTAGAATTACTGCAGAATTTAGCGACGTTGCTGTGACATTCGCGCTTGAATTTGGGACTGAACGAGACCTCCTTCAGAGACACAACCTGCACACCCATTAAAGAAATTAGTTAGTGAGCAATGATGCGGCGATGCTGATTATTAAATTTTTACTCATGCCGGAACTGACTTTTTCCAACAATACTTAACCAAAACCTGTTTAGTTTAATTTCCCTTTAAATGTTTTAAAATTTAAATTTAGCTTATTACAGAGTGCACATTTCATGGGTACCGGTATGTTATTTCTAAGCCATGTCCACTATATTTGCCACGATCAGGCAAAATTCTATGTCAGATATTTTCAGCAGTTAAATTGGCTGAATAAAAAAGCGTGCAGTTATGAGCATGGAATGAATTTCCTGATAAGAGGTTAAGTTACACCTGGAAGCTCTCGATGACAGCCCTGCACTTGTTGTTCTCCCTGACGACGGGGTTGTTCTTGTTGCGCACGAGGCACTCCATGACAGAGCCTTCAGGCCCACTGCTGCCCTGCCGAGACTCGGCCGCGCATACCTAAAGTGAGGCAACCATTGTGGTGTTGATCAAATACACGGTTAGAAAAAACGGTCCCACTGGCGTTCTAGTGGCCGGTCGCCCCGTGAAAATAAACTGTTTCGCCGTTTTTATCAGATGTCTTACGGATTTCTAGTGTTAAATTAGAATAAAAACGGCGACACGGTGTTTCTTTTCACGTACCGACCGGCCACTGAAACGCCGGTAATACCGTCAACGGTAATTTTTCTAACAGTGTATATAATTAATTCAATGGAATGATTTGCGAAAAAATTAAGTTCAAGACTTGAAGCTACGAAATCATTGCAGTGCTAATCAAATATATAATTAATTCAGTAGAAAGATTTAACAAAAGAATTAATTTCAAGACATCAAGTTGGGAAATCATTGTAGAGTTAATCAAATATATAATAAATTCAGTGTAAAGATTTATGAAAAAGTAAAGTTCAAGACTTTAAGTTGGGAAATCACTGCGGTGTTAATCAAATATATAATTCAGTGGAAAGATTTACGGAAAAATTAATTTCAAGATTGAAGACTCCAGTTTGAAAATCATTATAGTGTTAATCAAATATGTAATTCAGTGGTAAGATTTACGAAAAAATTAATTTCAAGACTCCAAGTTGGAAAAATCATTGTGGTGTTGATCAAATATATAATTAATTCAGCGGAAAGATAAAAAAAAATATTAAAGTTCATGATTTCAAGTTGGGAAATCATTGTGGTGTTAATCAAGTTTACAATATCATCAATGCAAAAGTGCTACATGTGAAAGGATTGTTTGCGAGAACTTAATTGGGAGAATCATTTCTATGTAAATCAAGCTTGTTGATGAGGCAATGGAAAAGTGTGATCTGTGAAAGAATAAAATGAAAGTACTCTAGTGGGACCAAATAAATTTAACCAAATTTATAATCAATTAAATGCGACAGTTTGATGTGTGACAGGATTGTATGTAAGAACTCAAGTGGGACAACCATTTTGGTGGTAATTAAGTTTATTCAAAGTCGATTAGAGGAGTGTAAGTATAATGTGCGAGAAATTTCAATTAAGAATTCAAAATTGATAATGAAAGAATGCAATATTTCACTATATCATTGCTGTTCGTATCTACAAACCTGGTGAAGAGTTACCTACCGTCAGTAAACCAAAGCTTAACTCTTATTCAACTTATAAATTAACCATCATCATTGCTTCCGTTTCTAAAGGCCTGGTGACCAGATATTTTTAAAAAGGCTACTTCAAGTGTAGAAAATTCATTGCCAGCTATTCTTATTTTTAAAAAGGCTACTTCAAGTGTAGAAAATTCATTGCCAGTTATTCTTATTTTTAAAAAGTGCAAATGAAGAGAATGTTGAAAAATGTATAGGCTCTAGTTAATCATATGAATTTAAGTGAGAAATAGTGGCTACAAAAAAAAGTTAAATGGTCGACATAAAATGCAGTCTCAGGTCTTGCATCCTACGGTCTCCCGTCAAAAGATGGTTCCGAGAATGAGGAAAGGGAAGTAGTATTCTATTTGCATGGAATTCCTTGTAGTGGTACAGAAATGTGACCATCAAGTGGCAATTCATTCCTAATAATTTGAGATTCATTCAAAAGAGTTTGACACGCTGAAAGATTTTTCTGTTTTTAAAATGGTTTGTCAATGCGAAGCAACACTGCAAACAAACAGTTTACAAAATCTAACAAATGTTCTAACGAAAAATTTCATTTCATTTCTTCAAGTTTTGAGCTTAGCTGCTCAAGTGACAGTTTCCTTGAATATTTTAATGATAGTTTGCATAGTTCAACTATAATAATATGGGCTTTCTCGAAGTATTTTAGCTTCATTGAATATTTTAATAATAGTTTGCATGGTACAACTATAATAATATGCCACTTTCTCGAAGTATTTCAGCTTCATTGAATATTTTAATGATATTTCGCATACTTCAACAATAATAACAGTGAACGACTGCCAGCATAAGCATCTCATACAGGAACATAACGCACCGTTATTTTAATAATATTTTGCATAGTTCAACTATAATAACTATAATAATAGTGAACGACTGCCACCATAAGCAGTTCGTACGTGAACAGAACGCACCTTTCGAGGTTCTCCTGCAGACACAGCAGCTCCTCGCCAGGCTGGGTGCGCTGGGAGCAGAGGGTCGCCAGGTGAGGCATGCACGACGCCTCGATCTCAGGATGCAGGTCTACGTACGCTGAGCGCTCGTGCATCACGCGCCGCACCTCCTCGCTGCACGCGTCGCTGATCTGCGGACAAACGTCTTAATTTTACCACTCATGCCTTGAGGTAGACGGCGGCAAGGGTGACTAGCAACATAAACAAATCTTACCACTCATTACACTCATTACTTGATGTGGTGGCAAGGGTAGTGACTATCAACATAAAAAAATTTACCACTCATGCCTTGATGTGGTGGCAAAGGTAGTTACTATCCACATCAATAAATCAAATTACATACCTACATAAATAACATACACATTCGCATCTCTCTTCAATTAGTTATTAAAAAGTTACAATGGGGAGGAAATGAACCGAATAAAACAGTTTAAGGCTGGAAATTACTAATCAACGTGGCAAACGAAGCCTCAAGCCACACCTTGTGCTTGGGGTCAGGGTGATAAATGTGCCTGAACAGGCATGGCAGCACTAAGACGCCTCTCTCAGGGTCCGTGTCTTGCCCCTGAGTCGCCCAGGTAGTTTTGGCATGACATTTGTTGACCGAGTCGTCGTAGCAGGCGGAGTAAAGCTGCGGGTCCAGCTTCCAGTCACGAGCCACGAAATACTGGATCTCCAGCAGCGCTGTCTCGCACTGGCCCGTCATGATGGGCGTCCCCAGATGGCGGATCAAGCAGCGCATCACTCTGGTGGTGGTAAGGGAACAGAGTTGCAATCAAACTGTCGAGAGATATTGTGCAGGGAACAATATTTGATACGAGATATCGTCCCGAGAGGACGTATCAAGTATAGCTTCACTCTGGTGGTGGTAAGGGAACAGAGTTGTAATAAAACTGTCGAGAGATATTGTGCAGGGAACAATATTTGATACGAGATATCGTCCCGAGAGGACGGATCAAGTACCGCATCACTCTGGTGGTGGTAAGGGAACAGAGTTGTAATCAAACTGTCGAGAGATATTCTGCAGGGAACAATATTTGATACCAGGAATTTAAAAGTAAAGAAAATAGCCAAAAAGTTCACCATTTCTTATAAGAGAAAACGTTTCGGAGTCGTAGCCTAAAATTCACATGTGAATTTTAGGCTGCCAATTGTTTGTACCTGTGTTCTAGGTTTTGAACTGACGATGGAGCTGGACTCCGAAACGTTTTCTCTTATAAGAAATGGTGAACTTTTTGGCTATTTTCTTTACTTTTAAATTCCTGGTAAATTTGCGACTTAAGCAGCCAAGTGATTTTAATACTAATATTTGATATACTAGTTCAGAGCCACATTCCTGCCGTGCATCTCTTGGCGAATTGAGGAGACATTTACGAATTATAATATGTAAAATTTAAATACAAACCTAATAATTTAAATACAAACCTAAAATTTAAATACAAACCTAATAGTTAGGTTATGTTAATAACAATTTTTGGTTATGTTACGTCAATAATTTTCGGGCCACATAAGTTTTTTTCTAATAACTCATATCACGCACGTGAATAGCCAGATAAAGCACAAGAATTCATCGCAATCCGAGAATTTTACAACAGATTATTACTTATAGATTAGTAAAAGAGATTAGTATGAACAGATTAGTCCCGTACGTATAGATTAGTAAAGGAGATTGGTACAAATAGATTAGTATGTATATATTAGTACAAGAGGTTAGTGGTACATATATGAACGTCCTTGTACAAATTGACTGACCTGGCTTGTCCACCGAGCAGCGTAGGACACGCCCTCTCCACCACAGGCTGGCAAGCCTCGTGTAGGACAGGGTCAATGCGCCAGTCTTCTCCAGCATCGCTCACCTTCACTGCGTCCTCCACCTGTCACCAACACTATGTATGAATGCATTCGGGTTGAATTAAATTGCTGAATAAATAGATTTTTTCATTGTGCACTTAGTNTTTTTCATTGTGCACTTAGTCAATACCTATAATATATCTTGATCACACTTCTAGCGCGCAAAAAATATAACTCAGGACTCACTGCAGTGAGTGACAGAGAGCGCATTTTCTCATCGACGAAAACGTGAAGTCACGGACAGACGGACATGGCGAGCACAATAGCGCCTTTTTTCCATAAATGAGAAAATGCGTAAAAAAACGCAAAAAAATTCTGGCGTCTTCCAGAAAGGATTATTTAATTTGAGCCGGAAAAATCTTTCAGACACCTTCCAGAAAAATGATTTAATTTAAATTGAACCATATAAATTCGGAATGATTATAAGAACCCTTGAAAAAAACTTGCCTGCCTGCGGCACTGGGGCGACACCGGCGTGGCCTCAAGACCCTCCCTGGTGACCTTAGGTCGCTGGCGCGCGTGCTTCATGAGGCAGTGCAGGGTGCGGCCGCCCAGCTCCTTGCCTGCTTAATGGTTTACAGCAGACATGAGTTAACATGAGGCAAATGACGTTGAATTAACGTCAATTTAATTTAATCAATTGTTTACATCAGACATGAGTTAACATCAGGCAAATGACGTTGAAACCACGTTGAATTAACGTCAATTTAACTTAATCAATAGTTTACGGTACATCAAACATGAGTTAACATCAGGCAAATGACGTTGAAACCACGTTGAATTAACGTCAATTTAACCTAATAATGTTTAATTAAACGTTGATTTAATGTCAGATTTCTGGTGGGATATTGCGTCATCTTAGAATAAAATAAAACGTACTGACAAATATCACGAAAAAATAGACATTTTTTCGTGATATTAAAAATTGAAACAATTAAAAGAAATTTTTTCAAGATTTATTTAAAAATAGACAAACAATTGTAGTAATTTATAGCAACATATGTCTTGAGGATTTCAATAATAAAAAATGTTAAAATACATATTATTCAAGAAAAAATTTAATGTTTTAAACAGCGCCACATATCATACCAAATGCAGCTTTTAAAACCCTTATGAATATCAAAAACGAAGTTTTACGTTTATAATAGAAACTATAACTATCAAATCATTAAAGTAAAATAGAAGTTATGCCCATAACGCTGCCAAATTATTCCCGTATATATGTATTTCCAAAAAGGCAAACTACGAAAGTGCGTGAAAAAAAACGAATTTGTACACTTCTTAATGACAAATAAGCAAATTAATTGTGAGCAATGATAATTTCTCAAAAAATTACTTTTTACACTCTTTTCCAAGTTCTCAGAGTCAATCATTGGTATATTGATAAGCTTGAGAGTAAATTATTTTGTTCATTAATTATGGACAGAATTTAGTATGAGACCTCCGCCACAGAAGCGCTTGAGCTCCGTCTTGCAGGCCACCACGAAAAGTAAATTATTTTGTTCATTAATTATGGACAGAATTTAAGTACGAGACCTCCGCCACAGAAGCGCTTGAGCTCCGTCTTGCAGGCCACCACGAGGTCGGGCGTGAGTTGGTAGTCTTCTAGCAGCATGCGGCGGTGGTTCAGCATCTCTTCCTGGCACGTTGTGTCAATACTCTCACCTGGGAATAATATTTAGTCAATACTATTGTGCTGTAATCAACATGACAATACCTGAGGACTAATGATACGCTGTATCAATACTCGCACCTAAGAATAATATTCAGTCAATACTAATGTACTCTAATCAACATGACAATACCTGAAGACTAATAATACGTTGTATCAATACTCTCACCTGGGAATAGTATTCAGTCAATACTAATGTACTATAATCAACATGACAATACTTGAAGACGATTGATATGTTATTTCAATACTCGAACCTGGAAATAATATTCAATCAATAATATTATAGGTACTATAATCAACATGTCAATACCTGAAAACTAATGATACGTTGTATCAATACTCGCACCGGGAAATAGTAGGTATTCAGTCAATACTATTCTACTATAATCAACGTGTACGTCCCTGAAGAACATTGATATACGTTATTTCAATACTCGCACCTGAAAATTGTATTCATTCAAGAATATTATACCATAATCAACGTGTCAGTACCTGAAGACTATTGATATACGTTATTTCAATACTCGCACCTGGAAATAGTATTCAGTCAATACCATTCTACTATAATCAACTTATAAGTCCCTGAAGAACATTGATATATGTTGTTTCAATACTCGCACCTGGAAATAGTATTCAATCAATAATATTATACTATAATCAACGTGTCAGTACCTGAAGACTATTGATATACGTTATTTAAATACTTAGCACTTAGAAATAGAGTAGCCATCGTGTCACAATAATTACAGAGGCTTCAATTCCTCTCTTGACAACACATTATGGTGACCTTATGAAAAATTACATTAGTCTAGGCGTTGAGAGCGAACAATATCTTGAGACATGTAAACTATTTGTTCTATGTTTTTCAAACTTTCACAATATATAAAAATATAACTCAGTACTCACTGCAGTGAGTGACAGAAAGCACATTTTCTCGTGGACGAAAACTTGAGGTCACGGACAGACGGACAGACAGACAGACAGACGGACGGACGGACGGCCATGGCGAGCACAATAGTGCATTTTTTCCATAAATGAGAAAATGCGCTAAAAAGTTCAGGCTCACCTTTCCTGAGTCCGCCCTCAAGACACAGCAGGATGGCTGAGAGCTTCACGGAGTGCCCCAGTCCCTCCCTGACCTTCTGCCGACAGTCGAGGCTCTGGATGGACGCGCGGCAGGCCTTGGCGAGCCCCTTGGACACTTGGTAGTCTTCTTGGATCAGACGCTGACGGTTGCTCAGCTGCTCCGCGCACTGTATACATGAATAATATAAATTTATTGTTTAAATAATATATACACAGATAATTTCAGGGAGTATTCCTTTACATGTGCATTAAACTCGCAGGCGCGAAAAGCTAATTTGAAGCTAGAAGAAGACAATGTGAAGGTACAAGACGGATTGATTGTTCAGAGTATCCTTAAACAATTTAACTGACATGATAATGGTTCTTCATCTTTATAATATTCACTGTACAAGTAAATACTTTGAGATGATGCGTCATTTTTGTGAAAGGAACTGAAAACTTTACGTGTTGATAATTTTAAGAGTTCGTGGAAATGTTATGCAAAAATATAGACGTGTCCTTTAGGGTATTTGAGTGAAGACATAAATGCTTACAAACTCATAGGTTGAAACCAGCTAATCGTTTTATAAGCAAGAGGATTTATCATAAAACAGTAGACTTATTCCCAAAGTTGATCAACTTTGCTGATTAATACCACCAAGTGAAAATGAAAATTTAAAGCGTCTACTACGGTACCTCTTTGCTCATGGTTCGCTCCAGCTTGTGCTTCATGAGGCACTTGTACACGCGACCATGCCCCGCTCGCACGTTGCGGCAAAAGTTTTCTCTGTCGTCGCGGCAGGCGAAATAAAGAGGGCGATCCAAATGAAAGTCATCAGCTTGAAGTTCCGCCAGTCTGAAATATCAGCAAACTATTAGAATCACTATTACATAATAATCTATTACTCACATAATTACGTTGGAAGCAAATTTCATGTTAACATTCATAGCATAAAAAAAGTTGTGCTTTCTCAAAAAATAATGATGATACCAGGTTTACATAACTAGCTTTTGGTCAGTCCTTAATTTAATTAGTAGTTATGGAATTTTTTCATGTTAGCACAGCTAGATGCTTCATTTTTTAAATGTTATTCATAACTCAAAGACACGAATTGGAAAGGCAGTTGGTAAGTTAAAGAAAAAAATTTCAGCTTGGGAAATATATCCTCAAATTTAGTAAGACGTCTAATAAAATGAATAGCAAGAGAAAATCTTTTACTAACATAATTATGTTGAAAAAAAGGACTCCATGTTAACATTCATAGCATAAAAAGTTGTACTTTCTCAAAGAAAAATGATGATACCAGGTTTATATAACTAGCTTTTGGTCAGTCCCTAATTTAATTACCTAGTTGTTTATGGAATTTTTTCATGTTAGCATAGCTAGATGCTTCATTTTTAGCGCATTTTCTCATTTATGGAAAAAAATGCACTATTGTGCTCGCCATGTCCGTCTGTCCGTCCGTGACCTCAAGTTTTTGTCGACGAGAAAATGTGCTCTCTGTCACTCACTGCAGTGAGTACTGAGTTATATTTTTTAAATATTATTCATAACTCAAGGACACGAATTGGAAAGGCTGGTGGTAAGGTAAAGAAAAATATTTCAGCTTGGGAAACATATCCTTAAATTTGAAACTAGTAAGACGTCTAATAAAATGAATAGCAAGAGATATATTTGATGCTAGTGTAGTATAATTATTCACCTGAGAATTTGCTGGTGGCATTCAGTTGACAATTTATCAGCATTCCTACTAAGGCACTCGATAACAAAGCCCTGTGAGTGAGACGAAGGCTCAACAAGAGGCTGTAGTCTGCCACACTGCTGCTGTTCTATGTCTTGGCTACAGCTCTCCGTCATGTGGCTCACTAGCCGGTAGTCACTGAAGATGATAGCAGCTATTTTGATCAGATACTGATGGCATTTTTCATCCTGAAAAACAAAATTTTGTTCCAGATGTTATTGAATTCATTAATGAAAGAAAAGAAGAAACAAAATTGATCAGATGATCAGACAAAAGCATGAAAGTAGTTCAGGAAAGTTACTTAAATTTCAATGAGAAGTTATGGATAAAAAATCATGAAACCAAGTGATGATTTGTAATCATGCCATCATTACTTGAACATTAATTTAGTTTGACAATGCACTTCAGGGGCCATACTTTCAAAAAAAGTTAAGAGATCGTAAGTTCAATAGCCAATCATCAACAGCCTTTCAAGCAAAATCCACCTATCATAGACAAGAAAATGGAGCATAAGTACTTACGTTAACTTAGCGTGTTCTGAAAGTATGGCCCCAGAACAATAAATTACAGGATATTTAGGGTGAAGATATAATTAGATTAAATTAACAATAGGAGTTAACAGTAGACTCATTTAATGAATATTAAATTAAGAGAACGTAAACTCACTTGTAAGTCATTGAGGTGTTCAGTGAGGCATGTGAGAACGTGACCAGGAACAGAGGAACTCTTGCATGGGATTTCCACTCGACTGAGCTCTGAAGCACACAAGTCTTGCACAACCTTCTCCACACGGCCAGAAACAGTCATGTTCATTTTATAGGACCACAAGAGCTGAAAAAAGAATGTATTTGGTAATAAAAAATTTAAAGGATTCTGCAGCACTATGAAACAATGATACATTCATGGCACATTATTATCAGATGAATAAACTAGGATGAACCTTTTTTGCAGCCATTAGAAATTCATTGAGCATTTAAAACTTTCAACAAGCACAAAATTTATCAATCATCCAATTTATCAACCAATATTGATTTAAATCTTCATAACGGCTGCTTGCATGTCTGAATCCTCCCTTCTCTGCTAGTAAAGTTTTAAATATAGATAACATTCTCCCGTTTGATCTTTTCCAAAGAATGTAGAGTATATGTCATGTCAGTATATTTAATGTCACCATAATTTATTTAGAGCTCATGCATTGCAATCTTTCTTTTCTTTTGCATTTCAATCTTTCTTTCTTTTGCAATACCATACATTTTCCACATTTCAAAGTATTTCATACAATCTTTCTACATGTTAATTGCATTTCTCAGGAATGCAAAAATAAAAAGATTCTCAACATCAAAATTTCCTCTACATACTTCACTAGTTCACTATACTTTTTCCAATGCTATCATTACATTTTCCTATACAGATTACAGAATATACTTTTTAAATTTTTTTCTACTATTATGCATAGGTACATTTTTTAATTGCTAAAAAATATATTTTTTAAAACAATTAAATTAGCAAAAATTACAAGTATTTTTATAAATCAAAAGTGAACAACAAAGAAGATAGTTGATTGTATTCCTTGTATACTTACATGGTGACATTTTTGGCTTAGAAGATTGCTCTCACTTCTCTGAAATATAAAATATTTATAAATACAAAAAATTAAACTTTCATATATCTCTTATAGTACAACATATCATAGAAAAATTGTATAATTGCAATATTAGTTTAAATTAGATTATTAATTTATGGTATTAATAATTGCTTCTTGACTTGGCACTGCAATAAGATATTTTTATAACAGCTTATTGAGCTTAGTCATCACTTATGAGATAATTTATTTCCATAAAGCCAATATCTTCTCCTCAAACTGCCCAAAAAGGACCCAAACTAGGTACCTACCAGGCTACCAAGGCCAATTTCATTAATCATTTCAAATCAAATAGGTAAAAAAATTCCCCTAGTAAAAATTAAAAAAATTGGAGAATTACACAAACCTATCTCAAAAACTAACCATAGCTAGTAAAACTCTTGTTCTAACATGCCAGTGTCATAATAGTAATACCTATGTAAAATAGTCCACCAGTATCAAAATAAAATTCCAGTTTGGAAGACAATCAAACAATTAAAAGATGATCAACTGTTCTGCCTGGTAATTTATATGATATCAAGAATCAAGTTTATAGCATTGTTTTATAAATCATTTATTCTCCTGCAAAACTCACCCCCTTATTCTGAATGCACATCAGCAAACTAAAGTTGTCAACTACTTCTTTTCCACAAAGATTTCTGAATTCTTGATTACATTCTTGATCTTCTGTCAATTGAGGCACTGTTGGCTTTCTGAGTCCTATAGGCAATCCCCCATTTAATGATTTGTCATTCACTGCTGGTAAATTAGGCAGGGGTAGAATTTCCTTCTGTCCATGCAGCTCATCTTGAGAGAACCTTTCAATTCCAATTTGGTTTTGTTGAGGTTTAAATCCAGTCTGGTCTACACTCTCAACTTCAATATTCAAAAGACAGCAATAAATAAGAAAATTTCCTAATGCAAACCATGTCAAAGCATTAGTTTTCATCAAGTTTTCCATTGTTTTCGTAATTTAGAAAAATAACCTTCTTAACTAGTCAAAAAGACAACTGGCAATTGTTTTCAGCTACAAAATGCATTCAACTCTAGTCATCATGCATAATCGCTGCACTGTTTTTCGATTAACGATAGTTTAATGGACAAGATTCGCTCAGTGTAGACGTTCGCCTCGAGGAGAGAGTAACTTGTGGCCGGCTCTTGTTTGGGTGCGGCGCGTAAGATCTGCCCAGTGCAAAAAATTTTATTATTAATGACCATATGAATTAATTAATATTTTATTTTGGTTGTTATTGATGTTACAGACAAAAAATATTTTAATAAAAGATAGAAGATTCTTTGTTGTTTATTATCTTGATTCTGAGCCACGACGACAAAAATCTTTTTTACGTTTGCGGATTCATTCCGGACAATGGTGAGTGCCACTAATTGCGGAATTCTTTCACGCTTCTATAATGTTAGACAATTTTTAAATTAAGCTGTGTAAAAAATCAGTTTATTCAAATTTTCCAGAACCAGCATTTGTGTTTTCCTCATTTCAGCAATACTTTAAGGTTTTTAATGTGTAAACTGTTGCCGGCTCCTGCTTATCATATTTATATTGTAATTTGAAGTTTCACCTTTCAGGAGGGTATGAACGACGATTCTAAATCTGTGGCTGGGTTCATGAAGGGTATTTTCGAGGAATATCGGCTGCATCTACGTCGTAAACCTCTTGCAGCTAAAGGTATGAACTTGCTTTGTTTCATTGTGAATTGAAAAGGCTATTAAGAGTGTAGCTTGCGTCGCAGCTAACGAATATTTCATTCGAATGCGCAATCGAAAAAGACGCAATTTACTGTTTATTACTGTGAATATTGAATGTTCAGATTTATCAATTAATTATCTCTAGAAATGCCCATCGTCAGGGGACAAGCTACACAAATTTCCCGGGCCCAAATGATAAGACGCACTAATCTCGCCTGGGCTCAACACTCTTTTTTTGCCAAGGGCCCAGATGTGTTTGAAGTAATCAGAGAAATTATTGTGTCATATACTCATATTTCATACCCACACACCTTCATACCCACAGAGCAAGCAGAAAGCGGACGTATCACTGGTAGTCCAGCTTGACCCACGCAAGGGCAAGAAAATGAAGCACAATTTGAACAAAGACGCGCTAGTTTCTTTGAGTGCAGAGGAGCCTGCTGCACGTTTACCTGTACAAAGTTTACAGGAGATTATGTTCGGTCCAGTAACAATCATTCATCGGTGATCGTTTGATTTTGATAAATTATTATATACGCTCACTCATTGTAGCCATTCTGACGACATTTTCATAAGCATTTAATATAATTCGAAAGCAAGGAAAACGCCATGTAAATTCACCATATCTTCAATTAACCTTATTCGCCTTTATGTGGCGTTTTATTTGCTTTCAAATTCTTGGTCAAAATTAAATGTAAGTCAACTCATAGTAAGCATTTAATGTAAAACTGGACCAAACAGACGTGGACCAAACCTCCTTCTGGGACTGCGTGGTGCTCACCGCACGACAGCCAGCAAAAGCGAGGGTTCGAAGAGCAGCTCAAAATATTCGCACAACAGGACCGCCTACCACCCGTAAAAATTATGAATAAATCTAAGCATACACGCATGATTGTACATTTGACAACCCGTAAACCATATATTTGTGGGTTTGGTATGGAATGTAAAAAAGTGCGGAAGATTCTGTGTTTAAACTTAAAATAAGTGTCTGTAGAAAATGTGAAATGTGTGTAGGTACCTGTGTTATGTGAAGAAGAAATAGACCATGGGCCTATTTCTTCAGTGCCGACATTTCTATTTTTTCTATTCTATGTGAAGGTACTCGTTTTGAGGAATGGTGACATTTCATTTATTATCATCCCGAGTAGCATATAACATGTATAGGGCTCATTATGCTCTGTCTCAAGTGTTTAGTGAGTATTAAATTCACTACTCAAGTACGACAAGATGCAGTATCTGCTACACTTCTGTGTTGGATTCACCGCAAGGTGTAAGTCAATTCTGCTTATGATTTGAGCCGCGATGATTATGATTGATGTTGCACGCACTGCAACACCATGCCACAGCACGCACTGCAACACCATGCCACAGCACGCACTGCAACACCA